ATTCTGGGAGACTCCTGGCCGTCGTCGGTCTGACGTCCAGTTCGTCCAGTCGGGCGTCAGATTAAAGGCCGTGTCCGTTTTTCTCCGGTGTGAGCATATTTTACCGGCCCCGACGCCCGTCGCCTTTTCCAGATCGTGCTAGGCTCGCCTTGAGAGCCGAGAGTACAATGACAAGCCACAGCCGTTGTCCCCGTGGGGTTAGCTGGGGAAGAGGGAAGCGCGAGGCTGTTTGGGCACAGGCGCGTGCGCTCCGCCGCGGACCGTCTCCCTCAGACGCGAAGTCGCGCTCTGCGCGTGGCGGGGCGTGTCCGTCCCCGCGCGGGCCGGGGCTCGCCGCGAGCGCGGGCTTGGGCGGCGTGGCGACTGTCTGTGAACGCCTCCCCAGGTCGCGGAGCTGAAGACGAAACTGGACGCCGCGGAAAGACGGCTCAGCGCGCCGGACGGGGAGCAGCGGCAGCGCTCGAGGGACGGCGACGGGCCGCGCGGCCCCACCCGGAACCCGCCGCGCGAGGAGGTGGGCGGACGATCGAAGCGGGGCTTCCTGTTGAAACCCCGTCCAAGTAACGCCAACTCGCGGCTCAGCCGCGCCGTCCGCGCGCGCGATGCGGGTTGCGCGAGGCCGGGCCGTGGCTGAAGGCCGTGCCCGGGAGGAGGGGGAGGTGCCGGGCTCGCGCCCGCGTCGTGCGCAGGCGCGGGCAGCCGCAGACCCCCGCCAGGAGGGCGGCAACCCTTCCCCGCTGTCTCTCCAGGGCACTTCAGCCTAGGCGAAAATTAATTATTTTTGCTTTTATTCATATTTATTATTTTTATTACTAGTGTTAACAATTAATAATAATGTAGCAATACCGTGTATTTGCACAGTACATTTTACAGTACATTTACTTTACAAACAGGTATTACGTTTGTAGTCATAAAAATTAACATTTTAGAAGCACTTCGGCCTCATTATCTCATTTAACATTCTCAGCCCACCTGTGAGGAAATGTTATTTTTGCCATATTAAAGATGAGGAAGCTGAGGTGTAAAGAGGTTGACTTGCCAGCGGTGCTGAAGTAGCACGTGGGGAAATGGAACTTGAACCCAGTTTCCAGATTCTAAGCCTCCATCAATCCCTGCGGCGAACTGGGTAGTAACGATTAAGATGACAGTTTCTCCTGAAATAGATTCTTTTTTTTTTTTTCTGGTTTTACTTTCAATTATTGGACTTCCTGAATATTGTAGAAACTGGGGAGGAAACCTTAAATTCTAGTGGCCTCCAAGTATAGTAAGAAAAAAAAATGTAGATATTCTCAGGTGAAGTCTTATCACTGATATTGTGAGGCATTGGCAATATTTTAAAACATGCACAAATCTTAAGGCAGGGTTTAAAATCAGCACAGAACATGCTAGTCCAGGTTTTCCTACCTTGCTAAGGAGGTATTTATTTGTCACAGTGAGTAAGGAAAACGGATTTTTGGCAACTCCCTTTCAGCCATGTAGCAGTCATTTCCTTTTCCAATTACACCCTGACCAGGAATCTTTGTAATTTTTTCCCATGCAGTTGAGACCATTTTCTAGTTAGAATAATTTTCTCTTAAATTAGAAAATGATTGGTTCATTTTCTAAATATATAGGCCCATTCTATTTAACTAAAAGCAAATAAAAATGTTTTTACTTTTAATGACAATGATTTACCTAAAATGGATTTTTAAAATTTAATAGTTGTATTGGGAAATATTGATTACTGAAATAACATACTTTAACACATGTATTAGCTATTTTCTCATTTTGAGTTACCTAAATTCTGCAATATTTATTTTACCTAGTTAAAATCTCAGTCACATTAAGAATCCAATTTGCTTGACAAAACATTGACTATCTAGTATATAAAATTAAGAGAGAGGGGACATTGTCTGAATCCAGAGCCTGTTAGTGTCTAAACAGCTAACCTTCAGTTATTTAATACACTAGACTTCTTGATAAAGATCTAAAAAATGGAAGAGTGGTGGCAATTGGACTAGTTGATTTCTACCTTTTGAAAATAATAATCACAACAATGTAGTGCTCTGAATAATTATCTATAGTGAAGGATCTTATTTGCCTAAAAATTATTCTCTTCTCCCACTTTCTAGTACAGAATGTTGCAGGATTGAGCTTTGAGATAGAGTAATGTTTTGTTGCAATGACAGTTTTTTTCTTTTTAGGAATTTCAACTACTTTTCTGAATCAATTATCCATCACTTAGTATATAGGAACTTGTTTATTCTGCAGACCCATTTATTTGACTACTGACAGTAAGACTTGGGGATCTTGATTTTTTTCCTAGGGTCACAAAACTTCTAAGCTACTCCGCTAAGTTTTGATAAAAGAAAGATTTCTTTAATCCTAACCTTGTCCTTCACCCAAAGGATGTTGCTCAAGTGGAATGTTAAGTGAAAATCTTGCAGGTTCTGTTATTATTATATTTCAGAAGGGTGACCCTCTCAATCTACCACAGCAGCTGATATATCACTTTTTCTACAATATCTCATTTGAAATTTATTGAGTTTGATTTTATTTTCTTGCTCTTTACCTCAGAAGGAAAAAGAAAGTCTAAATGAAGAATTGCATGAATTGAAGAAAGAGAATAAGCTGTTGAAGGAAAAAAATGCTCTTGCAAACAAGAAGAAAGAACATTTAGAATGTGAAATAAGACGCCTCAATAAGGTATTAGACCAGCTCAAGCATGGGAGGTCAAAATGAGAGGTCCCTGTGTAAGAACACATTCCTACTAAGAGTCACAACAAAATCTAGCTGCAACGTGGGTCCCAGCCTTGGGGGCTTGCATAAGACGTTCTCTGTAATTTTAGAAATCACCCATGTCTGCAGCTTTCAGCCATACCTGGGTAAGGAGGCTTTAGAAAATTTATGTCCCTGCAAAGAATCATCACGAAAAAGAGAAGTGAGGAGAAATTATAGACTATAAGAGCTGTTTTTTTAGTTTGAAGAACCACGTAAAGCCAAGTGGGTGTTTGCGAACAGTAACGTATCTCTTGGTCAACCACAACAGCTTCCTGAGGAAACAAGCTGCTCTTTAAAATTATCACTGTGGAGCTGGGTGTGATGCACACTATATGGAAGTATGCTAAATGCCAGACACAGAAACATTTTTTGAAGTTAGAAAAATAATAATTTTATAATTCTGGTGATTATAATTATAAAATATCAATGAGAAAAATTCATTTAAGTAAACTCAGATATTTTATACAAATGTCACCTCCCAAAGATGACTTTTCTGGCTATCCTAATTAAAATTACATACTTCTAGTATTTCCTGCTTTAATTTTTCCTTGGAATTTATTACTGTCTAATAGATGTTTACTGTCTTATATTTATTATCTTATTTGTTTTCTGTCTCTCAGTCTTGATTATAAGCTACATAAGGGTAGGATTTTTGTACAGCTGTCTTCATTAAGCACAGTAGACACAGTGTCTAGGGCCCACAATACTTTTAGGGGCCCGTAAATGTTTACTTTCACTTGAAATCAGAAGAAAAAAATAAACTTTTGTTGAATATATGTTTTCATATATATTTGCAAGGCAGTTATAAAATATAATTTTAATATGTATTTTTATGGAGAAACGGACTCACAAAGGCAACATCATAATGTGGTCCTGACTTTTTTTCTATTTTGTTCACTGCTGTATCTTGAGTGCCTAGAACAGGGCCTTGCTTACAATAAGTTCTTAAAATATTTGTTGAATGGGTAGATGAATGAATGGATGAATAAACAAATTTAATTAGCTAGTATGTAATATGTTCAATAGCCAATTCTGGACCTAAGATTTTTGCTTTAATGAGCATAATGTATTACTTATGGCTAGCAAGGAAAAATAAAAGGACACTTAAAGCCAGAAGAGATTTCATCCCACGTATCTATCTACACCTTAAACTGTTACTTAAAAACATAGATATTAAGTGATAGTTATGAAAAGATTTTTTTTCTCATTTAGCACATGTATTAGAAGACCATGAAGTGTAAGATGTTATCATTCTTCTATTTCACAATGAATATTTTTCTCTTCTTTTTTACCACTGTGATAGAAGTTCTCAAAATGTTGATTTCAGCAGCTGATTGTGCACACACCGTGCATCACAGCATGGAATTTAGGGCCTACCCTACTTGTACAAGCTGACTGCCTGCTGACCCATTCACTCAGCAAAAATTTGTAATATGTCAGCCTAGTAATTAACTTGTGATTATCAGAAGTTCACACAACTGTGTACTCAATCCAGTTTATTTGCTTTGAAGAAAATACCCAAGGGTTTTATTTTCATCCAGCTCTTGAAGAGAAGCCAGATGTTTAACCAAAGTGAGAAAAATTACCCGAGGCCTGTGCCACCCATGGGCAAAATCAGTTTGTCTGACATCTCACCATTATGAGGTGGGTAGGTCTGCTTAGTATATCTGCACCCACAGCAAATAACTATATTAGAATAGGTCACAGGTGTTTGTTCAAAGAAGTTGGGCTAAATGTCTATGAGACTTAACTTTCATTTATGACTCATTTGCAAAATTTCTAGAATGTTGAATAGCATGAAAGTAGGGAATACAAATAACAAGTTCCACAAAAAGAGTCTATTTGTAGGTGTAGGATAAGGAACCAGCTCATTCGATTGCCATCGTTCAGTTGGCTCACCCCACCCTAGACTCTATCACTATGCAAACATTTAAAAAAAATGTTTAACTATTCTGATACTTTGTAGAGCTTAGTATAGATCCTCACAAAGCATAAATCACTAAACAACTTTATCAGGCTAGACAGTATTCATAGATTCTAAGACATTCTATTTAATAATTTCCAGTCTGTCCACATATACTCAAGACCACTAATTTGCTTTTCCTTTCCTACTATTCTGACCATACTGTATAGTCATGCAGCAGAGTAAGTTACCACAAATATCATCAAACAGACATCACTGAATACAGAAGTGAATTCTTCTTACAGCTCTGAAAATGAACCTTTTCTATTTACAGAGGACTCCTTTGCTAATGAGCAAGTAGTCATATTGTGGGCTCTGAGGCCACACTGTGATGAGAAGTTTTCCATCACAACATTTGGAAGTCATTTTTATTGAACTCATCATGACCCGAAAGTCTTCAAAATAGAGGCAATGCCTTTTATATGATGTGACCAAATACAGTACATGTAAGACCATCATGAGCTAGTGAGTATGGATGATAATCTTGTTGGTGAACAGAACTATCACTTAGTTCCTTCACCTCCTCATCCCACAGTAAAAACATCAACTTGTACTGGATGTCAGGAAAGTGGAGAACACTCTCTGCCCTATAGCGAGTTAATGAATCTTTTAACAAGAAATAAATATGACTGTGGTGAGGCCAGGGCAGAAGAGCAGCACAACAGATTTAGCAGATAGTGAATCTGCATGGGCTCACATTTCCGTTTATTTCCCTCTCTCCTGTTGGGGGTATGGCATGGTTATATAGCAATATATTACTCAAAACATCATCTGGGACATGCAAAATATCATCTGGGACATTTCTCAGCTTTTGAGAAACTCAGATTCTCAGACTCTACCCCCAGATCTACTGATGCAGAATCTCGGATGGATAGTGCCCAGGGATGGACATGTTTGCTACCTCTCATGCTCCCTGAAGTTTGAGCATCATCTACAGAGTTAAATTTAATTAAGCCAGAGAATCTAGAAAAAGGCGATAGATATGTTTTCCTTGCATATTTGGCTAGGTAGAGGAGGGTCCAACGTCAAATCCCCCCTAGATAATAATGGGGATTGGGCCGGGCGTGGTGGCTCACGCCTGTCATCCTAGCTCTCTGGGAGGCTGAGGCGGGCGGATTGTTTGAGCTCAGGAGTTCGAAATCAGCCTGAGTAAGAGCAAGACCCCGTCTCTACTAAAAATAGAAAGAAATTAATTGGATAACTAAAAATATATATAGAAACAATTAGCCAGGCATGGTGGCGCATGCCTGTAGTCCCAGCTACTCGGGAGGCTGAGGCAGGAGGATCGCTGGAGCCCAGGAGTGTGAGGTTGCTGTGAGCTAGGATGACGCCACGGCACTCTAGCCAGGGCAACAGAGCGAGACCCTGTCTCAAAGAAAAAAAAATAATAATGGGGATTGAATAGCATAAGCATCATCATGGAGAAAAGACAGAGATTCTGAAAAAAAAATACATATATGCAAAAAAATCAAAAAGAAGAAAGTTATTCAGTCATGTAAGCAGCATTAAAGATGAAATTCTACCTTGTGGGTGCATTTGAAATGATTATAACAGTTATAAAGGAATTCATATGATGTGGTAAATCTTAGATCAACAGTGTGCTTATCTGCTAACAGGCTCTTCAGGATGCCTTGAACATCGAGTGTTCTTCATCTTCTGAGGACTGTTTGTGGAAGTCTGGAGAGTGCCGCCATGAAGAGCTGAGAACAGAAATGGAAGTTCTCAAGCAGCAGGTGAGAAGCTGGAAGTGGCACAAGCACGAGGAGAAGATAGGGCCCATTTGTCACACTCCTTTGGACACTTGTCTTGCTGCTCAGAATATGTCAAAGTTTTTTGCATTATTTTAATTAGAATTATCTAATTTTAAAGGTTGATAGGAAGAATATAGATCAGCTAGTTCACTCCCACACTTTATGAAAGAGGGAATTGAGTGTCAGCTGGATTAAATGGCATGCCCAAGATCACACAGTTGAAAGAGGGGCATGCTAATTAACCTTTGGGTGAGAGTCCATTAGCACTGGGTCTAGAGAGTTTCATGTAGAGATTATTTATTTTAAAAATGCTATTAATCCAAATTCTGGACCTTTTCAGAAAATGGTAGCAGCCAGATTGTGATTTCGTAGCTGCTGGCCTCCAGACTTTTGAACAGTAAGGGCAGTTTTAAAGGTCATACTTTGCACTGGGCATAATCACTGAAGAGCCAGGTCTGCTCAGCTGTTCCCACATGTGGATAGCACCACCTAGTAATTTACTGATGCCCAACAACTTCCTCCTCCCCACTCACCCAACTTCCCTCACTGTTGCCAAGTGGACAGCAAGAGTAAGGATGCACTTACTACAGTTCGTGTATTTATCTATTGGCAGCATAGGGCTGTAGGGAGATAGCCCGCCTGCACTATTTGTGTCTAACTTTAGTGCAGTCAGCTGGTGTGTGCTTAGCTGAGGGGCCATCCATGCATATCACATCTCTTTTCCTGTGAGAGGTTAAATAAACTAATGTAGGTAAAAAGCTGGAACAGTTCATGGCAGTATCCATAAATACAGGACACATACAGGAATCCTAATCCCTGAAGCACATATTGCCAGTAATGTATTAGCAGTGGGGAAGAGGGTGTCATAGTACAAAGGGAGGGCAAGTATTTTTTTTCTGATGTCCCTGGGTTTGATTTGTTGACTATTTTTGCTCTGAGCAAGTGCCAATTACAATGATTTTTGATGCAATACATGAAAAGATTGAGCACTTGTGTTAATTGTTGTTGTTATTTATTGTTATTATTTCATAGGAAGTAGCCTATCTGTAAATAGATCTAAAAATGTCATATCACGTGATGGTGCAGTTGGGTTTTCTCTTCTGCCAATTTCATTTGAATAATCTGTTTCATTACATTCATGATCATATACATAGCTTAAAAGTAAACCCATGAAGAGAATAGGGTAATATGCAGAGTGTCAAAGCTCTGTCAAATTCTCAACCCCTAAAACACTGTTGGTGCTAGCTAGGATTCCTTTGAAAAACAAAAAAACACACTGCTTATGTTCAAACACTTGAATCATCTTTGGTACTCGCATATAGTGTACATCACGTGTAAGAGTGACTCTTGGCTGGGCGCGGTGGCTCACGCCTGTAATCCTAGCACTCTGGGAGGCCAAGGCGGGCGGATTGTTTGAGCTCAGGAGTTCGAAACCAGTCTGAGCAAGAGTGAGACCCTGTCTCTACTAAAAATAGAAAGAAATTAATTGGACAACTAAAACTATATAGAAAAAATTAGCCGGGCATGGTGGCAAATGCCTGTAGTCCCAGCTACTCAGGAGGCTGAGGCAGAAGGATCGCTTGAGCCCAGGAGTTTGAGGTTGCTGTGAGCTAGGCTGATGCCACGGCACTCGCCCCAGGCAAGAGAGTGAGACTCTGTCTCAAACAAACAAAAAAAAAAGAGTGACTCTTACACATGGAGTTTATAGTAATGGATTAGCTCATATTTGACAAAGACAGTGACAGGTATTATTTTTTCATAATCCCCAGTGGGAGATCCATCTTCTTAGTTTTGGGGTGGCTCTATTGATGACTTTCTTCATAAGCATTTTAACTACACGTTTCTAACTGGGCACCCACAATCACTACATCACCAGGTGCCATGCGAAACACTAAAGGGTTTAAATACACAAAGAAATTGAATTAGAATCTTTGCTCCTACATGGCTGAACTAATGACATTGCCAGAGTGTTCCACTCTAATCAGATGGGCTGGTCCCATTTAAAAGGCTTCTGGTAATTGTTACAGAGTATTAGTCTAACTGTCTGTGGAATTAAACCTCAGTTCTCAACCAAAAAAATAAAAATAAAAATGCCAGCTTGGTTGTATGTATCTTCTTTGCAATGCTTCTGGTAAATAAAGCCTTAAAAATGGAATATGTGTATCTGCATCTAGAGTTATAGAAAGTGTTTAATTTTTTGTCTTGCTTATTTTGTTCTATTATTGTTTACTTAAAATTGAAAAACCCTTAGTTAAAATTTGTTACACTGTTGGGATGAAGGTATGACGTGCGTTAGTGTTTATAGACAAAAATCTAGCTCCTATGTTCCAATGTAAGTAATTTAAGTCATGGTCTAAGAGGAATTTTTTTGCCTCATTCTCTAAGTTTCATTTGTTTTCATAACTTCACATGCTAGTCTAAAAGCCATCAATCAACACTATGCCAATTAAAAGCAACAACAATAATTAAATCTGTTTTTCTTTTTAGTTTGGTCACCTTCTGGAATATTTGGAGTACCTCTCAAGAGGTGTTCCACGAAAATATTACTTATAAAGGGCAAAATTTGTGAACGCATTACTTTTCCACACACATCAGGCTTTCATTTCTATTTTGCACTCAACCTATAATTTATACTTGGACGCTTTAGCATGTCAGTATTCTGTGGCTTACCTTAACTGCTCTTGTCAGTAAACTGTCTTTTAGAACTTCAAGCAGTATCATAATCGAAGCCCTTATGTTGGTGCTAGATGACTGGTCTGGAGGGTTCATCACCACAGTGGAGAGTATGCAGCAGAGAGGAATTGTTTCAAAACATACACGTTGTTACTTTACTCTGAATTCCTGATATAGGCTCAAGAAGGAAAATGTTGAGAATTGCCACTGTAAGCAAAGTGAAAGATAAAATTAAATAGTCCTATGTATTTCTCCATCACACCATGAAGAAATATTCATGAAAAGAACATAGGAATGTCTCAGATTGGAAAGGCCCAGATAACACCTTTTCTGAAATCTTTTAAATGGCTTAAGAGTAAAGGAAGCTTTTATAACAGCAAGTTAATATTTTTTAGGTGCAAATATATGAAGAAGACTTCAAAAAGGAACGATCGGATCGAGAAAGACTTAATCAAGAGAAAGAGGAGCTTCAGCAGATTAATCAGACTTCCCAATCCCAGCTGAACAGGCTGAATTCTCAGGTACAAATCAAAACAAAATAATCTTTGTATGTGTATTTTATTTTTTTCATTTAAAAAAAATCAAGACTTTTTGACTTCTGTTAGTTGACATTGGATTTTCTTGAGAGATTAGCACCTGCAATGAAATCATTCTTAAACAATCTTGTAAGGAGAAGAAAATGACTGGAAATTTTTTTAATCTTAAGTATATTAAAGTATTACCCAAGAAATTGGATTCCAGAGTCTTTTATAAAATACAGTTCTTTTGATCTTTTTCTCATAATATTTGTCTTGGTGGAATGGGAGTTGAACTACCTAGTACTCAAATAGAGTGAAGTGGTTTCTAAATTCTTGTCATTTTCTTTGAAGAGCTATGTGAGAATGCTCCTGTCTGCCAAAAACATACATATTTCTAAAGGCCATTTACATGTGAAACTGAGGATTTTGTTCAGTGGGTTCCCAGATTTAATGTAACTGGAGCACTTTCAAGGAAGCCAGATAATGGTTACCAGTTTATTAAAATAGAATATATTAAATGTAAGCACACTAAAATTAAGTGTAATAGGATATATTAAAGTAGACTCAGGAAGTTGCCATGTTGGGTAAATAATGATATTAATGAAGGAAAATGTAGCTAACACAATTTTGGCTTAAAAAAATAAAATGAAATGCAACATTTTTGATTCGCAAAATCATGCAATGCTTTTGACTAAATAAGAGATTGTTGTGGGACATGATGTGGCAGTTCTTAGCTTTAAGATTCTTAGTCTTATAAGAAATTTTAAACTATTAGTCATCTTCTTCCTCCTCCAAATACAAAGTAGATTGTGAATTAAACTTAATTTCTTTTCTGATTTTTATTGAAGGATTAATTTGAAATTTCTAATTTTACATGGGAAAAATTTTCAACAGAACAATTTTCTCTCTAAGAAATTAGAGGAATAAAATAGTAATAAAATATAATTAAATAATTTTCTGAAAATGTATGCAACCTAATACATAATTTATAAATAGTTGATAAGAAAATATTCTGGTTACTCTAGGTAAAGAAATCTCTCTTTTGGCTTTATTTTTTACATGCAGAGCTTCCTTAATTTCTTTTGTCACTGTATAAATAGTTTAACTTCCTACTATATTTTAGTTTTATCTGTTCTACTGTATTAAATTCAGATTGGTGATAAATTGGTATCTAAGACTGTCCTTGCCATTACAGAACTTTTATCCAGCCAGGAACATCTATCCATCCATGCAATGTTATATGCTATAATCCACAAGTCATTTCTTGTGCCATCTGTAATTACTGATAGTCATCAACAAAATAAATGTATTGTCTAAACGCAGTATGGTACAATTGTGCTTATACACTAAGGGACAGTCTTAATGATATCTAAGTGATATCTTAAAACTATTAAAATTTTTCTTTAAAATAATGACAGCCCAATCATTTATTTTTCAAAAGTGTCCTTCACTTTGGAAAAAGGATGATAGAACTCACAAAGAGATATAGTAGATGGTTTGATGATCTTTGTTAGGTGTATTTACAGCAGTTTAAATGCTATGGTATAATAAAAAGGATTGGCATTACCTTAGTTGAATAGCATATTATTTATTGTCCAAGTGGATTTTTAAAGGAATTTTTAGATCAAATCATTCTGGAACTAATTGCTTACACACCAGAATGTATTCATTCTATCACCGGGGATGTTTTCAAGCCAGCAACAATGGTAAAATAGCAATGTGGTGAAATGAAAGGTACTTAAAGTACTTAGGAGTAGGAGGAATTTAGGGGGAAAGACCTGGTGTTCCTGCCACTCTAATGCTCAGTTGGTGTGACCTTGAGCAAGTTATTCAACTTTGCTGTGACTCCCTTTCTTCATCGGTAAAATGACAAAGTTGGACTAGATGAGCTCTAAAATGTTTCTTGTAACTCTAAAACCTCTCTTTCTAAAAAATAAGTTACCTAACCTCTCTCAGTATCCTCACCTGTAAAATATGGATAATGATACCTACTTCATGACTTCACAAAGTTGTTCTCAGGGTTAAGTAGGGGAAAAAAGCCTTTATAAAAACATCTAGCTCAAATCATGACTCAAAGGTATTTTATTAAATTATATTAGTCTATTAGAAGGGTGCATGTTTAGTAGTTTCATTTAGTTATATGAACATGCTACTTTCAGTTCCTTGTACTCTAATTCCAATGCTTGCTTTCTGCAAGGAATTCTGCTTTATGCTGTAAAGGAATAAAATACCAGTTCTTGTTATTAAAGAACTCACAATATAATTAAAGAGACATATACAGTCTGTTCTCAGCATTCACAAATTCCATATATGTGAATTTGCCTGCTCACTGAAATGTATGTGTTACTCCCAAATCAATACTTGCAGTGCTCTCGTGGTGCATTCTCAAACCTGACGTGCACGTTCCCAGCTGAGATTGAACAAGGCGATGCTGCCTTCTTGTTTCAGCTCTTATACTGCAGAAAGTTTCTTTCTCGTGATCTATTTAGTGCCATGTTTTTCACATTTTTGTGCTTTTTGTTGGTAATTTCATTGTTTAAAATGGCCATGAAGCATAGTGCTGAAGTACTGTCAGTGTTCCTAAGTGCATGAAGGCTGTGACATGCCTTTACCGAGAAAACATGTGTTAGATAAACTTCATTCAGGTGTAAGTTGTAGTGCAATTGACCATGAGTTCCCTGTTAATGAATCAGCAATATATATTGAAGTGTCTTTAATCAGAAACACACATAAAACAAGGTTATGTATTGATCAGTTGACAAAAATACTGTGACCAGAGGCTTGCAGGAACTGAAGCCTGCATTTCTTCTAGGAGCAATGGTTCAGAATTCACTAACTCAGTATTTTTTCTGACTTTATGGAACATAACTACTGCCGGTAGCAAGAATTCACTACACATAGCACATACTGGACAAAGTCACATAGTAAACACACAGCTCTACATGGGAAAACCAAGGGAGGAGGGAATAATTCTGAAGAGTACAACTTGGAAAAGTATCACACAGGAGGAGACATTTGGCCATGCCTTTGAGGGATGTGGAAAATGGGGTACAGGGATGAGGATGGCATTAATAAACACTTAGAGAAAAACGAGCTTTCTCTAGGTGTGTCAGATGTGGAGGGACCCCAGGGCAGGTGACTGTGCTAGATGTGGCTGGGAGAAGTCCTTAAGTACGACTTTGAGTAAGTTACTCACTGTCTCATGTGTCGATGTCCTCATCTCTAAAATGGAGATAATAATATTAAGTATCACCTGGGGGCATTAAGAGGATTCAATAAGTTATTGTATGAGAAGGATTTAGATCAGTGTCTGGTCTGTATTAAGTGCATATACAACTTCTAATATTTATTGTGGAGGCTTTTGAATGTCAGAATGACCAATTCCAACTTCATTCAGTAAGCAATGGAAGCTGTTTCTATATCTATATCTAAATAGATCAGCTTAAAACTCAGAATTACAATAGCCTCAAAAAGTTGGAATAACATTTAAAACTATCCAACTTCCCAAACTTCATTTGGGAATTTCAAGGTAGGTTCAATGCATGATTGGAAAACCCAGAATGTGACTGTTTTTGTTGGTGTTACTGCTGTCGGTGCCTCAGCCCTCAGGTTTCTGAGTAGGTCACTGACAGCTGGGTCCAGAGTGCCTTTGGAAATCATGACTTGAATTCTTCTTGATAAACAAATGCCTTTGTTTTGTCTGTAGATAAAAGCTTGTCAGATGGAGAAAGAAAAACTAGAAAAGCAATTAAAACAGGTATGTTGGTCCTTACCTAAGCCCTCTTGTCATGGGTGAAATGGCAACTTTAAGTTTCACTCACACACTTATTCCCATGCATAGCATTTCTCATGGCCCCAATTAAAGGCATACACTGCTACAGATGGCCTAGAACAACCCATGATTTTCATTATCAGCTAAACCATCAGTGGATAGACCATGCTTAGGAACCACCAAAGACTTTCAACCCTAACACTCATGAAAAACACATGCTTTCCAGAGCATGTTTCCACTGGCACAAGCCTTAGGGTGTATTTACTCAAATGGAGATTCTTCATAGACCCACAAACATCTGGGAAGTATATTTCCTTGGTATTTCTTGCAGTTGCTCACAGAATTTACAGTGGAAAACCATAGCAAAGATTTTGCCTCTTTCAAGAAAATATCATGTCTTCTTGGTCACTGAACCATTCTATCCTGTGGGTTCTCTAGTGGCCTTAAAGAATGAGTATCATTTCTCTTAATTCCTAATTTCCTTTCTGGACTTGAGTTGTTTCTGGCTGCAATCTAAGAAAACTTATTTTATGACTCAATGGATAGTTTTTCTTCAATGAGGACCCTCTATGATGATAACTCAGAAAGAAAAAGTTAACTCTGTATACTTTCCAAGTGTTTCTGATTTCTTCAAAATGAAGAAATGACTATAGTTTCACCTTAGATAAAATTTGGTCTTGCAGTCTCATCTGTATTGGTCCTGAATCTATATTGACATATTTACTATTTTAAGTTAGAATTATTCCAGATTGGGCACATTAAGATTGAAACCAAAGCTTGTTGTATAAAGCAAGTGTCAGTGTAACTCCCCAATTTCACCCACTGCCAGTGAACCAACAGCATTGTTCTCCCCAGATGTATTTTCCAACCTGTAACTGCGGCTTGATTTTCCACCTGCGGGATCCTTGGGGACCAACAGGCCCTGGGGCTGTGCAGAATCCACAGGAGCACCCAGTAAGTAAGAGTTTTCATTTTGGCAAATAAAGAATACTTAGTATTCTCTTTAGGTAAAAATTATGTGCATCTCTGGAGTTTTGGCATGTAGTATTGTCTATAGAAAGAGCTTCTATTTTCTCTCAGCCTCTAATTTGTACAGTTCCAGTGGTCAATGTACAATATAATTATCTTTGAGACACTGAATCCACAGGACACATAGATATGAATAAATTAACTGAAAGGTATCAAATTGAGGCATGATTTCTTGAACAAACATATAACATTTTATATGGGTCATTTTCAATTGGCATACTACCCAAAGGACATTTTTATGTATAAAGAAAAGCAAACTAGATGTGGCCAAACAAAAAATGAGATGCTTTTTTTAGTTATAAACGTATATTGAACTACTATGGATATGGCTGCCTATGTGCAAAATTGCTTTTGACGTTTTCCAATTGAAAGGATTTTCTTAAAGGATCCAAGAAAAAGTGACCTACTTAAACTGTTCTCCATGGCTGTGTCTGCCCAGACAGAATGAAGCGAACAGTTGAGCAATTATTTGTGAGTGGAATTGATTTGGACAGTCAACCTGAATAAGTCAAACTCGAAGCACCCTTCCTTTCCTTCTCAATGGCAGTATCCGCCCCACCGTCTCCCCACAATCTGAATGCCTGTATCTACTCTCCATTTTGCCTACATAGACAGAAATTTTATCCAGGAAAAGACTTACTCATTCTTCTAGATTTTGGATTTGCTCAGACAGTTCACCCCACATCCCTTAGTTTTTATTAACAGTGTTTCTAATGATGCAAAAAATTTGAGATTTTAACTGGGACTTTCCTGGCAAAGCACTTACAGAGAGCATGATTCTCTTGGTTGCCTGAAACTTCTCATACTTTCATACTTGAGTGTGACTCAAAGCCCATGTCCCAAGGGAGGAGATGATGTCTCTTTGGGTGGCACAAGCATGTCAGGATTTAATGAGCATCTCTTATTTGACACTGGTGTGACACAGCACACTGCTGAGAATTTGGTTTTCATGTTGTCACCGGTTGCTAGTGCTGTTCACTCTTCCTTTCTCATTTCCTCTTTTCTTTACCTGTTTGCTTACTTTTCAGTCTTTACTAGAAACATTTCTGGGAATCTTCAAACACAGCTATCATTCCTTAAAATTTTTTTTTTCAAGAATGTAGAAGTATACTAAGATTGTGGGAAACATAAAAAGAAATCTATTTAGGAGTTAGCTCCTACAGGTTGGAGAATTGGAGAAATATTTTTGTGAAAGGTTAACGATAAAACCAATGAATCATTCAAGTTTAGGAGTAAAAATGGCTTTTTTGTCAAATCTTCATTTATAGAAGGAAGAAAGGAGTTCACCTTCTCATTAGACTTTCCCTGTCATCTAGAAGGGGCGAGGCTGTCCAGATACCTCAAACTTAGCACCAATCATCAGACTTTCCCTGTCACCTAGAAGGGGCGAGGACGTCCAGACCACACAAACTTAGCACCAACACAGATCCACATTTGAAAACAGGACTCCAGGCCATGCGTAATGGCAGTATTCAGTTTTTTAAAAAATCTTATGTAACGGTAGAATTTACAGCAAAATCCTCAGAGTTAATTTTAAAAGAATATTCCATGTTTCTTGCTTATAGCTAAACCTGAATTAAATCACAGGCAACAATGCTGGTGACATTACAGCATATGCACCTTCTTTTGATAACTCTTCTGGGATATAAAACTGACGCTCACGTCACTTACCCTGTGTGTTACTGGAGACATTTAAAAATAGACGAGAAGATAAAAACCAGAGGTGATCTCATTTCCTCTTTTAGCTTTTTCATGAGCCAAAGGAGCCAAGAGCCTAGGTGCCTGAGTCAGGGCAGAGTGGGGTCAGACTGTACCCCACTCCGAGAAAGGCAGCATATCTCAGTGTCTTGTCAGGTAATTGAACTTTTTAGGCTACTTTTAGTGGTCTGGCAGCCCTGTCAGTGCTCCCTATTGGCTCATGTTAGAGAAATTTTCCTTAGGTTATTTTTAGGAGATAATTGAATACTAGAACAAAAGATGTATATTCTCTGTGTCTTGTGCGGAAGTAGGAGGCTGGGGTGAGCATTCAGAGCAGAAAGCAGCCCTACTTTGTGGCCAGGTAAAGCTGAGATTGCTCCATTCCCAGGAATTAAATACAAAGATGCTGGCCTTGGAGCTATCTTGATAATTCAGGTCTGTAGCTTATTGTTTATTCAATGCAATTTGTTTGACATGTTACCTGACATTCAATATCTAGCTGTTCTTAACTAGTATAAACCTAAGAGAAAATCCCACGAGAAAAATCTAGTCTTTCTAGACTAAACTGTCGGAGCAATTTAGAGAGTAGGTTCTGCTGGAGAACAGTGCAAAGGGAAAGATTAGCCCTGCCTCGCCATCCTGAACCTCTACATGTCATGTCCCCATCTAATAGCTTAGGTTTCTTCCCTGAAGAAACTAGAAAACTTACATTAAACTTGTATTTTTTTTTTTTTTTTGAGACAGAGTCTCAAAACCTTGGCGACAGGTTTGTGTTGTCTGCTTAATAAAAGCCACATAGCATAATGACGTTTTTTAACTTGCCACCATGTTTTGTTTGAAGTCCATATTGCTGTAATAATGTTTTATTGTTCCACACAGCCAGACTGTCCGTGGTATGCTCTAGACCAGCTTCCGCCAGATGTACAGCACAAGGCAAATGGTGAGACCACAGCTGCACTGAGCAGTCTTTCATGTTTATATTTTAATGGGATGTTTACTCAACATATAGTCATTTGTACGTGGGGAGGACTTACTATAAAGTTGTGTTGCACACACAACTTTAATTTGATGTACCTGGGGTTAAATTAAACTCCTAAAAACAAAGAAAATGTGCAACTGCAGAAATGCATGAATCTCAATTCTGGCTTCTGTTCCTGTTCCAGTCTCAGGGTTAGAATTCCATCTGGGGTTAGAAATGAAAATGTTAAGCATATCTATATTTTAACAACAAAGCTCTGCAATTGTACTACAAAGGACAAATGCTCATCTACTATTCCAGGTTTAAATGTCACTGGCAGACAGACAGAGGAAACCAAAGGCTCAGAACCGTGTTCCCTTATGACTAAATGTCAGACTCCACGGCAGAGCTGTTAGTTTAGGCCAGGGTTGCCTACAACACCCACCTTGAAGTGTGCTGGGAAAAACCACAAGTCACCTATAAAGTACTCATATCTAAGACTACTTTTTTTTTTTTTTTTTTGAGACAGAGTCTCGCTGTGTTGCCCGGGCTGGAGTGCCGTGGCGTCAGCCTAGCTCACGGCAACCTCAAACTCCTGGACTCAAGCAATCTTCCTGCCTCAGCCTCCCGAGTAGCTGGGACTACAGGCACGCGCCACCACGTCTGGCTAATTTTTTCTATGTATTTTTAGTTGTCCGATTAATTTCTTGCTATTTTTAGTAGAGACAGGGTCTCGCTCTTGCTCAGGCTGGTCTCGAACTCCTGAGCTCAAACAGTCCACTCGTCTTGGCCTCCCAGAGTGCTAGGATTACAGGCGTGAGCCACCGCGCCTGGCCTATGAATACTTTTTAATCTTATTTTTCTTTGGTTTACCATTCTCCTCCTTTTTTATAGAATCTGCTATGCTTTCTACTGATTGTTTCTATGGTCTCACATGGCCCCCCAGAAGTAAGCTATATAAACTGAGATATAATCATAATCCCACTTTTATTCTCATCCCATATAATCAAAAGTCCTTAATGTCTGCTACATGTTTAAAGTCTCATGACACACAACTGTGACTCTAACTTGTTAATTTCCAAAAATTTCAATCTATCTAAAGAAGCTGAAGATGAGTTATATTCTAATTTCAGGCCATTTAATTCAGAGCTGAGATCATAGAATTCTAGTTTTTAATACAGGGAGTCCATTGTGGAGTGAAAGTAGGGAACCAGGGACACCACATTTCGGGTTGTGAACTTCACAAAGCTGCTGGGTTTGTCATAGTAGTATATGTGAATGGACTCTCCTAGAGTTGTACAATATACAACCTGGACAGCTGTACATGGTACTGGGAATGTTAAAGGCCATAGCTTATGGTAACCTCACAGAGAAGAAATATAAAATGTGAGAACTCTGTAATAAAATGTCCAGGTATTTATCAGAAAAACTATAGGACTTTCTTTTTTTCTTTGCTTTCTACTGCAGATATAACCAGTGGTTTTAATGAAGTTCTTGGGCTCCAGCTGTAATGGAGAGCTTTCATTAGAAAGGCGTATTATTCCAGAATGGTTGTTGCATAATGTCTGTGTTTTTGAAATCTATTGTTGTATAATAGCTGAGTTGCTACCCAATTATAATTTTCATTTTATATTGGTCTGGAATGAATATTAAAAATATTTTCTCCTTGAGTTGGAGTGTAATCACTAGAAAATACTCAATAGAGAATTACTCAGAAATTACTCAGTAGAGAATTCAGTAATATCGTAAGTCCATTTATATATCACTATGCTAATAATTATGTAAAATAGAGATGAATTGTGATGACATTCAGAAACTAAATAGAATATGCAAAAATGAAATTTTGTAGTTAGTGTATGAGACCTGCTGATTTTGTCTACTTAGGAAAAATATAATTAGCTTTGTGATGTATAACTATACAGTGTGTCTACAGATGTAAAACTACAGTAAAGAATAAACCTCTATGATGTACCCACCTAAGTATTTTTAAAATATTACTATTTTAATCTTCACAGCGATACTATAAAATAGGTTTTATTTTAACCTATTTTACATATGAGGAAACTGAGGCTTGGAGAATTTAAGTAATATATCTAAATCACATAGTAAACAGTAGCACTGGGATTAGATTCTTTGATATATAGGATTCTAAGACCTACGCTTTGAATCATACCCTATAGTGCCTTTGAAAACCTGCCCCTCCCACTATGTTGAAATTTTCTAAAATTACAAAGATGAGAATGGGGCTCTAATAAGGATAATAATATGACTAATGTTTAAGCCTCAATAATTTCATCTTCCTATGAACCCCACAGCATATATTATCTGTGCTGCTCATTTGACATTTAGAATATCACAGGTAAAAGACACAGTACTGTGTAAGAGTAAGTGTGTAGTTAATATGTTATGAACTAATCTGTGCATGGGCAGGCCTACTGGAAGCTGACAGGGGCATGTTGCCGTTGGAAACCTGTCCTTTTCCAAGCCAGTACAGCTCAGCAGCTCACTGAGGCTTGTCTGCACCAGGGAAGAGGGCTGACTATGACTGGGGGACCACAAAAGGAATTCTTTGCTCAGAAATCTGCCTGTATGGGATTGCCATGGCTCCTTTTCTAGCCTTCACAACCAATGGTGTATTTCATAGCTGAAGCCAGGTCATATGAATTGGCAAGAGCTCTGAAATCACCCTTGTCACAAATGATTCATGTGCCATCATATAATTTCAGTAGTGATTCTTGTTTTTTGGTTCATTTAATTGGAAAGCTCTTTTTGATTGTCAGTGGAAAAAAAGCCAAACTCTGTAAAATAATTTTAAAGAGATTTATTCTGAGCCAAATTTGAGGACCATGACCCAGAGCCATGCCCAAGAAGCCTCGAGCAAGTGGACTCGGTGTGGATGGGTTACAGTATTGTTTTATACATATCAGGGAGACAGGGGTTACAGGTAAAGTCATAAATCAATACGTGGGAGGCATACATTGGAAGGGGGGAGGGGGGCTTACAGGTTATAGGTGGCTTTAAAAATTCTTTGACTTGTAATTGGTTAAAGACATGAAGCTTTGTCTAAAGGCTTGGAATGTTTTAACATAAGGAGCTGTTAATCAGAGACAAGCCACCTGGACATACATTTGTTGTGTAAATTGAGGACCTGAAGGTTTGTCTTGCATACCCTTAGGCCTGTTAATGGGTTACAAAGGATGTCCCCAAGAAGGGAGGGGGGCGTGATGAGGCATGTCTGACCTCCCTCCTCCTGGCAGGCAATTTAGTTTTAGAATATTCCCTTGGCCAAGAGGGGGTCCATTCAATGAACCGGTGGGGGGTGAGCCTGAAGATTTTATTTTAGTTCACAGATCTGTAGGTTTAACTAAATTGCTCAGAATTATCGTACAATAATTTTGTGGTATTGATCATTAGGGAATTACAGGTTTAAAAATTTTTTGATTATACAGACATTTTTGTTATGATAGTAGACATTGTTTTACTATATGACTAATATATTCAAGAATATACTACTAGTCAATATATCATATTTTGGCCAGGCGCAGTGGCTCACGCCTGTAATCCTAGCACTCTGGGAGGCTGAGGCGGGAGGATTGCTTGAGCTCAGGAGTTCGAGACCAGCCTGAGCAAGAGCGAGACCCTGTCTCTACTATAAAATAGAAAGAAATTAGCTGGACAACTAAAAATAGAAAAAAAAATTAGCCGGGCATGGTGGAGCATGCCTGTAGTCCCAGCTACCTGGGAGGCTGAGGCAGGAGGATCCCTTAAGCCCAGGAGTTTGAGGTTGCTGTGAGCTAGGCTGACGCCATGGCACTCTAACCCAGGCAAGAGAGTGAAGACTCTGTCTCAAAAAAAAAAAAAAAAAAAAAAATCATCTTTTGGGCTGAAAACATGAAAATTCAAGCAATGGAAAGAAAAATGAGTAGAAAAATAAAACTATGTCTCTGATAATCTATAAGCAAAAATTATTTCTTAAAATTCCTGTTTTATTCCTTTAATAAATACTTATGATATTTTACTCATATGTGTAAGAAATGAACCTTTTGGAAATATGGATATTTAAGTTAATATTGACTAGTATATCGTGCTTTATAGATCATCCAGTTCTGTTTTTATTAATTTCCTATAACTCCTGAAAAATTTACTTTTCTGACCCCCAATAAATGTATCACATTATATTTTTATCCTAGTGTCTTCCTCTTATAACAATTAAACCTAAAGTAGTAGCTCTATTAAGTGTTTACAGAGAAGTAGCTTCATGCATTTTATTAATCAAAGGCATGGCAGGTGATTACATTTCAATAATACCACTAGATTCTCCTCTAACATTTCTGGGGCCTAGCACAAGAATAAATGGAGAGCTGCATGCTATGTCGTATTTTCATATATATGTAGTTATGCAAATAAAGGAATCAATCTCAGAAACTGTCATAGTTTATCCTCCTACCCAGAGTAAAATTTAGAATGCTCAGATTCAAAACCAATTCTGTGCCAGAACATGGTGGCACAGGGAGCCCTGAGTGCTGGCCTCCTGCCTGGGACCCACCACTTTCTCTTCCCACTTTCTGACTGTGAGGACTCTTGAGTGTGGACTTGGGGACAACCCAGCTGGCACATCCCAACTTTATCCATATGTCCCTTACTACCCTACAAATAGCACTCCTTAAACAGCCTTCAGGCCTGTGAAGAGGACAACATGAGTCCTGGAAGCAGGCCCAGGGTCATTTGGGCAGTGAATTTGGGGGTCTGCATTTGGGTGCCAGGAGCTTGTTCTGGAGGAAGGGATAGTCACGCTGTGAGGAGAGATGTGGCTGGGGGAGGGCCAGAGCAGAGTCCTCTAAAGTGTGGGGACCGATGAAGGGCCCCCTGGCCGGGGACTGTAGGTGCTGAGTACCACATCAAACAGTCTTCCAGTCAACTAATTTTCAACTTTGCTCCATTACTATCTGTGGTTATTTTAGAATGCTTTGGAGACACATTGAAAATCAACTTTTCTTTCAAAAACTGAAGATTTTAAATGAAGGTTTTCAAGACATTTGAGACTTGGCTTTCTATCTTCATAGCATTAACTAATGATGTTTTTAATACATTGAAGTCCACAGATGTTAATGAGTTACAGTTTCTGTTTAGAAACATTTACAAAAGAACATTTTGATCTTGTTTCATCTGTTATCATAATAAGATGCGAAATGATTTCCATGCTTCCAGAGCAATTATGGCATAGTAGAGTTAGTATAACCTTGAAAACCTGTTGTTTGTTTCTTCCTTTCTGAAATGTCCGCAAGCTAAGTTTTCTGACTACGTTGCATGCCAGCCACTTCTGTACATTCCAAATTTTTCATATGGTACAGAGTTGAACTTTGTCTAATGAGCTTGAGCTCAATTCTTGCGTATTTGGAAAGGCATGAAATGTAGGCTTGTGAGATTGTACTGTGAGCAAACATAATTATTTCTTTACAATATAGAAGATCAAAGCCTAAATATTATAGCTGGCCTGCACTAATGTCTAATAATAACTAATTAACTGAATACTGACTGAATTCATTTCCTAGGACAATACCACAAACTGGGTGGCTTAAAATAGCAGAAACTTTTTCTTCACAGCTTTGGAAGCTAGAAGTCCAAACTCAAGGTGTTGGCTGGCTCAGGCTCCCTCTAAACCCTCCAGGGGAGGATCTTTCCTTGCCTCTCACAGCTTCTGGCAACCCCTCCGAGCTCCGCCTCCTTCCTCCCAGGGCCATCTTCCGTCCGGGTCTGTATCTGTGTCCACGTTTTCTCTTCCAGTTAGTGCCGTACAACGGTCACATGGGATTAGGGTCCAACCTAATCCAATGTGACCACTTTTTAACCTGATTACAGGATTAAGTTGTAGTCATATTTCAAAAAAGGTCACATTCACAAGTTCCAGGGTTGAGGACATAAATATATCTTTTGAGGGGACACAATTCAAGTTATGACACTAACTATATGCCAAAAACTACTTCAGGTGCTTTGTTTACATCATCTCATCAAAACTTTATAGCAACCCTATGAAATGAGTACTGCCGTTGTCCTTGTTTTATACATGTGAAAACAGAGGCAGAGAGAAATAGAGATAACGTAACCTGTCCAATTCGCATGGCTTGTTATTGGCCAGGACATAGACGAGCCCACACAGTCTGACTCCAAAAGCCCAGATTGTAACCACTAAGTAATATGGATTATCCTAAGGTATCTATTAAGTAAAATATAATAATATTGTACTTTGTGTATATATTATTCAAGTAAATTCTGATGGTCCTGTCCTGAAAGCCAATTCTGTATCTTCATTTCTTGGTCTTTGTCTTCTTATAACTGCCTTTATATCTTAGCATCACAGATAATTTTTATGTTAGTAAAATGACTGGATTTGTTTTTCTTTTTCTGTCAGTATGAAAAAATAAAGGAACTACCATAAATAGTAAAAGCTACTTTAAGAGATGTAAGAAACAGAGGGAACTTAGAGACTGTACTTAGTATAATTTTCAACACAGATGGATAAAGTATTAATATTTTTCTTTCATAAAATGTGCATCTCTTTCTTAATTATTTTACCAATAGTTAATGTAGAAGATTAATCAAAATTTAGAAAGAGACAATTTTATTCCTATTTCTAGATTTTTAAAAAAGAATTGCAGGAGAAATGCCTTCTCACCTATATTATAATGCTGTGAAGATCAGTTTATCAGTCAACTCAGTGATTTTGCTGGGAGAATATTAAATAAAGAGTAAAAAAGTATATTTATTACATACACGAACATACAGGTGGTAAATATATTCCTATTTAAAACCATATTTTATAGGAAAATACTAAACATTCTAATTAACATAGATCCTAAATGAAAAAAGACGCACCCAATAAGTCTGGAATAGTCACAATTCCACCACATAAATAAAATTGCAGTAATTCTCTGAAATGGGAGACAAAAACCTATAGGGGAAAAACCAAGACATGTATTAAATATTGCATCCCAACTGGGAGGAACGTTTGTTTACCTAAGTTTTCTTATGGACTATGCCTAACCGTCCACATTCTAAGGGGTGAGTGCAGTAGAAAGCGAAGCCACCTCTGTCCTCTGCCCCACTCTGCTGTGTGGGCACCCTCCCTGCCTCCTACCAACTGGGCTTCAGATTCAGTCAGTCCTTGATGTGCAGTAAAGACAGCCTCTGCCACCAGACATCCTGGGTCATGCTCAGATCACTTCCACATTCACTCTGGCGAGTACGAAAGCACAGACTGTCACAGTAATAAATAATCAGGGGCACAGTGACCACGTGGAGTTCTCCACCAGCCAGCACGGGGAAGCTGACTCTTTCTACCACCGTGAGGACCCATGACTCCCTCGGGGCATGTCTCTTGCCTTTATAACTACAGAGCTGAGTCTCAGGGCAGAAGTTTCTTCCCACCTTCACTGGACCTATAGGGAAATTCTGCTTTCCCTTCAAGAAACTAAAGACCTGTGGTGTTTTTGTTGAGATCTGCATTCTGCCGCGGATTATTCCATGGGCTGCAGCCTCTCTCCATGGAAAGTATGGGGATCATGACCTCGACTCTGTTCCTACTGCACAAGAGTACTGTACAAATTATGAAGGAGTTAATTTTTTTAAATATTTTAAGATACCTAGGGATAGTTATCATTAATGGGTTAAATTTTAACTTTGGAGTGGTTAGATCAGTGGATTATGCTTCTGAGTCCACATTTACGTTCTCAACGTATCAGAGATCTTTTTAATGTCATGACCACAGTTCTCAGCAGCATATTTTTTAAGCCTAGATAAGTAACCTACTATCTTCCTCTTTGTCTTTTGTTACCAAAATGTTAGTTTAGCATGTCTTTGATATACCAAATGCAAGGCAGCAAGTATAAAACTTTCAACATATTTTTAAGTTATCATGAATAAGGAAAACACTTTGTTTCTTGGCATTTCTATGGTTAATTTTCCTTGATGATTCAACCTCTTTTGCCTTCCTTTTGGTACTCATTTATGGCAATCTAGCCTGGGCCCACTAAAATAGTCCACATTTTTCATATTGGTCTTCACAATACACTCACACATCTTAGGATCACAGCTGATCTTTTCTAGGCTTTGACAATAATATGCCCAGTGTCATATTTTAAAAAATTAGTTCATTTGGTAAGTTATCTTTCTCTGGAATAAGCACTGAACCTAACAGCAAAATGTATGACTCACTTTCATAAGCAAATGCCCAAGCCACTGAAATGCCAGCAAGAACGAGAATTAGTATAGAACATTCCTCTTCAAGCATGATTAGAACGAGGCCACAACTGATTTCACAAAATGGTAAGCATATGTCAATGCTTAAAATAATAACCTTCCATTTCCCGCCTCTTGATTTCTCAGTGTAAACTCGTGGGGAGCTCATGAATAAAATATCTCTTTTTTTGCCAGCCCTGAAGTTTATGTTACCCCTAAGCCAGAAGAAGAGAAATGAAATGGTAATTTTTAATCTGAAACATTTTTCTGCTGTTTTTTTCTAGGTTTCTCCTCAGAAAGGAAAGGCAATCAGTAGAAGCTACCGCAGCAGGGGAAATGGGCGACGGGGCGCTTGGCTGAGGGCCCTCTGCTTTGTTTTTACTGCGGCTCGTTTCTGCCGCAAGTGCACATCATCCACTCTGTTGCTTGTGCCTGGTAACGTTTCGCCTTGGCATGGATAGAGGAAAAGGCTTCTGACAGCTCAGATCCTGATCAAGTTTGTGGAGCGAGTTAATACAACCAAACACAACTTCCAGTTTCCTCGAAATGAGATTTGGCAGAGGGATTATGCACCACTCCTTGAAATTCTCCTCAGCATGTTGCTGTTGCGTGTGCAAGGGTGATTCCATGATTTAAGCAACTTCATTTTTGGTGCAGCAATATTGTGTGTTCCTTTAAATATATATATTTGATTAAAAAAAAAATATATATATATATATTTTTTTTTTCCCCTGGGGGTAAAGTTTTTGAAGTTGTCGATTTTTAACATTGCTCCCATTATTTTCATAGGGGCTTAGTTTTTCAGCCAGTTTGAGTTCATCACTGTTGGCCTCAGCAAATCTAAAAATAGGATTGAAAGATGTATATACTTATGTAAATTAAATGAATGGATCAATCTGAATAAAATGGTAAACTGGAAACTGTTCTATAAACAGATCATTTCTTTAAGATGATGAAAAATTGGTGAAAATTCATTTTTATGTGGAATAGATTATGAACGATAAAGTCTAATAGGATGATGATGGCTTTGCTGTGTCCTTGTAGACTTATAGAATTAGTTCAGAGATATGTGGATTTATGGTTAAATCTGTGTTTTTCCTTCCTATGGATTTGAGTAATTAATAATGGAAAGTATAACTTTGATTTGTCAACCCAATTAAAAAGGAAATAGAATGTATCCAAATTTTATTGCAGTTATATTAATATTATATGGTAACATGACAGATGTCTGAAGATTAAGCACATTTAATAGTATTAAGTTCATCAATTTAATAAGAATTCTGCTAAGACCAACGTGAGTTCCTCTTTGTGAGAACATACACATAATGGGAGTGTGACATCCATGCATAGGTACTTCTAGAAGTACCCAAATGAAGCCAGAAGCATCAGCTGACTACGCAGGCAAATAAAACATTGCAGACATACTGCTGACCCTATCAAGTTTTAACTTCCAAATTTTATGCTGGTGAATTCCAGCTCAAACTATTTTTGTTTCAATTTCTGGATATACTTGAAGTTTGTGTAATGGGAAGATGAAAGAGCCTTAGGAAAATAAATATTTTCAGCTTCAGCCTTTGGCTACTCCAGAACATCATTCTTGAGAAAGAATTATCCTTCTCTTACATTAATTTTCTGAAGCTTTGGTTTTTGCTACTATTTATCAAAGAGACATCATTCTTGGGTATTACTTCATTGTAAATGAATCAGAAAAACAACACAGTTATTATATCAGCTGCATGGAAATATTTTGCCATATTTTTCCATTTCCATTTCCTCAGATTAGTGAAAAAGTCATTGTAATGTCAATTTCTAGTGGTGAAGTAACTTTGCCAACTGAAGTATGCCCACCAGAATAAAAACTGAACATACATACAAGAAAGTACCCCTTAATAGGACAGTGATAGGTCTGTTCAGCAGCATTAAAACATGACCTAACCCCCAGTCTGAAGTCATCCTATTGCAAATTCACAGGTTGCCAAACATTGGCAAGATTGTGTAAATGCTAATGTAATGGGAGAAAATCCAAATGAGACCTAATTTAATTTGCACTCCCAGTGGGGGACTACAAATGTGGAAAGAGAACCCCTTGCTCAGAGCGCAACTACCCTTCCCAGAAGACAGATTTCCCAACCCTGGCTGAAAGTCAGCCAGTCCCTCCTGTTTCCCTCTCCCCGAAGCATTTGTCTGGGGACTTCTCTGCTCAACTCATTATAAGAATCGTACCCTAAGCTGTGGCTCTTACTTCATTATGACACACAACTTGTGGAAACTGTGTGAGGAATAGCTATGTCTCTTTGAAAGGAGAGGAAGTCATGTGGTCCGTACTGAGGAAATGTAAAACTAGGCATATTTTAGGGTTTTGGTTATCACAGAGAATTAAAAAAATTTTTTTTCAGAGTATTACGGGGGTACAAATGCTTTGGTTACATATATTGCCTTTTTTTTTTTTTTCCTTTGAGGTATCTCCATATTACTTTCTGTAGAGGTTGTACTAATTTGCAGTCCCACCAACAGTGTAAGAGTGTTCCTATTTCTTTGCATCGACATCAGCATTTGTTTTGGGACTTTCTGATAAAAGCCATTCTCACTGGAGTTAAGTGATATCTCATCGTGGTTTTGATTTGCATTTCCCTGATGATTAGAGATGTTGAGCACTTTTTTATATGTTTGTTGGCCATTATTCTGTCTTTTGCAAAGTTTTTATTCATGTCCTTTGCCCACTTTTTAATGGGGTTGTTTGAATTTTTTCTTGTTAATTTTCCTAAGTTCTATATAGATTCTAGTTATCAGCTGTGTAGCATGCGAATATTTTTTCCCATTCTGTAGGTTATCTGTTTGCTCTTGTGATAATTTCCTTGGCTATGCAGAAGCTTTTTAAGTTGATCAGGTCCCATTTATTTATTTTTGTTGCTGCTTTGATTGCTTTGGGGGTCTTCTTCATAAATTCTTTGCCTAGGCCAATGTCTGTAAGAATTTTCCCAACATTTTCTTCTAAAATTCTTATGGTTTCATGCCTTAAGTTTAAGTCTGTTATCCAACATGAGTTGATTTTTGTGAGAGGTGAGAGGTGGGGATACAGTTTCAGTCTTCTGCACGTGGCTATCCAATTTTCCCAGCACCATTTATTGAATAGGAATTCTTTTCCCCAATGTATATTTTTGTCCGCTTTGTCACAGATTAGATGATAATATGCGGATGGTTTCATATCTGGATTCTCAGTTCTGTTCTAAAGGTCTATATCTCTGTTCTTGTGCCAGTACCATGATGTTTTGGTTACTATGGCCTTGTAGTAAAGTTTGAAGTCTGGTAGATTGATGTCTCCCAATTTGTTCTTTTTGCTTAAGATTGCTTTGCTGGCCGGGCGCGGTGGCTCACGCCTGTAATCCTAGCACTCTGGGAGGCCGAGGCGGGTGGATCACTCAAGGTCAGGAGTTCGAGACCAGCCTGAGCAAGAGTGAGACCCTGTCTCTACTAAAAAAATAGAAAGAAATGATCTGGACAACTAAAAATATATATAGAGAGAAAAAGTTCGGGCATGGTGGCGCATGTCTGCAGTCCCAGCTACTTGGGAGGCTGAGGCAGAAGGATTGCTTGAGCCCAGGAGTTTGAGGTTGCTGTGAGCTAGGCTGACGCCACGGCACTCACTCTAGCCGGGCAACAAAGCGAGACTCTGTCTCAAAAAAAAAAAAAAAAAGATTGCTTTGCTATACGGGGTCTTCTCCGGTTCCATACGAAGTCTAGAATTATTTTTCCTACATCTGCAAAAAATGATGTTGGTATTTTGATAGAGATTGCATTGAATCTGTAGATCACTTTGGGTAGTATAGACATTTTAACAATGTTCATTCTGCCGACCCACGAGCATGGTATCGTTTTCCACCGGTTTACATCCTCTTCTGTTTCTTTTCTCAGTGTTTTGTAGTTCTCCCTATGTAGGTCTCTCACTTCCTTAGTTAAATATATTCTTAAATATTTAATTTTCTTTGATTTCGCCTTTGCATCACCCAAGTCAGAACTATAATTATGCTCATCCCCCAGACAGTGTGCATGGCACCCATTAGGTGTGAACTTACCAACCCCTCCCTACCCTCACCTGCTTGATCTTTGACTTGAAGATAATGCATGAAAAGAAAGAAGTATTCGCTTTGATTTGTTGTGGTGTGGTTAGATGAAACTTTGGGGGTCTAGTTAGGGCTGGCAGTTGGGCAAACCTCTGCTGCTTCTCTCTAGCTTTGCTTGATTTCAGTTTGTTTTGGACCCTACTTTCCTTACCAACAGAAATAATATTTTAGACTAAATTGCTAATGTTACCGAGCATGGACTAACTTGTAGGTGATTTTCCTTAGTCTATTTACTGAGCCCTCTCACCCAGCAAGAGGGGTATAATAATCTCCTGATTACAGACGATTAATCTAGGTCACAGAGAGATTCCCAGGGGCTTGTGGCAAGTAAATGGTGAGCCAAGATTCAAAACTGAACCAGGGCCACCCAGTTTTTGGCATGCTACAGTTCTGCTTTCTAGATTACCTCAGCAAGTTCTATTTGTTTTTATGGTTCTTTTGTGTTATGAGCAAGCTGCATTACAGGAGCATACTTCTTAGGAGAAAATATTTTGATAAGAGAAAATACTATATATTGTATGGAATTTGTAAGTTACCTCTGGAGTCAAGAGAAGTATTATTTCATTTAGGCTACTACATGGCAGAAGAAAAATGTACATTTAATGTTAAAGTGTATTAAATAATACAAGTGTGGACCTGGACAATTGCTTTCACATATCAGCACTTTTAATGTAGCCCACTCACTAATAGAATCAAATCTAAACTACATATGATCGCCCAATTCAATAATTCAGTTTAACAATTATTATTTAAATATCCACTTATTTCTAAAAATGTCTAGACAGCACACAACATCTCACACTGCCTCTGCCTCTGTGCACTGTTCTTGGTTGAATCTACATTGGGAGGAGAGGGCAGTTGCTTAATAGCCATAATTCTACCCAATTTGAGGGTTCCTTTGCCCCTTTTTTATTTCTGTCATTTTTTTTCCCATCTCCCTGGAGATGGCAAAGATTGGAAATCCTTAAGAGAGAGAAACTGTTGCATTGCTGTTGTAGCCACACTATGATCCTTATTTCTCTGGCTCAAATTTGCTTAAGTCCCAGTTTCGTAGCTCAAAAGAGAAGAAAATAGTTGCTGTAATTCCCACTTTTCAATAATTTTAGAAATTATTTTTGTCTAGTTTCTTACATATATACCTCTTTACTTTCATCAGTCTTTTGCTCCAGGGGAGAAGGGTGCTACTGGGAACAGTTATAGTCCCTATCTTTGTGGTTCCACAGAAAAGGAAACTTCTGTCAGTGCATACACACACACACACACACACACACACACACACACACCCCACACATGTCCACATCATGCACATACTCTGCCTCTGCCTCCCCAGTCTTGTAGGCAACACTACAGGTCCCTGGTTTCTCCATTGATTACTGGGTAGATTCACTCAAATTGAACAATTTGTATAATAAAGCTATTTTCTTCTAATTTTGTCTCAAATCCTTGTGTGTATTATATATTGCCAAGAACACTGACCCGTTCCATTCTAAGCCTTCTACAGGAAGTGATAATGTTGGGATCTAGTGCCGGGAGTTAGCTACTCTTCCAGAAAA